GAGGGGAGGGGAGGGGAGCAGAAGGGAGGGGAGGGGAGGGGAGCAGAAGGGAGGGGAGGGGAGGGGAGCAGAAGGGAGGGCAGGGGAGGGGAGCAGAAGGGAGGGGAGGGGAGGGGAGCAGAAAGGAGGGGAGGGGAGGAGAAGGGAGGGGAGGGGAGGAGAAGGGAAGGGGAAGGGAGAGGGGAGGAGGGGAAGGGAAGGGAGGGGAAGGGAGAGAAAGGGAGAGGAAAAGAGGAGAAGGAAAGGGAGAGAAGGGGAGGGGAAGGGGAGAAGGGGAGGGGAAGGGAGAAAAGGGGAGGGGAAGGGAGAAAAGGGGAGGGGAAGGGAGGGGAGGGGAGGGTTAAAATCTGGAGTAATATATTTATTAAATTTATGAACTGTCCTGGCTGCCCTATAACCGTGCATTTAAAGGTAGTCAGCCTGTGCAACACTGTTACTCCCCATCCACACTGTATGAGGAACAATGTTAATATCCACAGTGGTATATAAATGTCCCTGTAAAACAGTTCTTGCATCATTTGTATGATGCAGACTTGTAGCAGGGGGGCGGAGTGCATGTGCTCAATGCACTGTCAATATGAATTCCAAAACTAATCAGATTATAACCTGGTGAAAACAACTCATTTTCTTCCCATGGCCAGTTTTAAACCAGACATTCTATAAGTTTAGTGTGTAACTGTCAGTAGTTTCCAAATACTAATTTAGACTAGAATGAATATCCATTGTACTGTTTGCAAATATCCAGTGCCTCCTCTGTAGGAGGATCATGAACCTTGTTGAACTCAGATGTGGCCGAATCTTGCCAAGGTGAACCATACCATTTTCAGGTAAAAGTTTTAAGAGTTTCAGAAGATTCAGTACTCTTTTTTTTTTTTCCCCCTCTCAGCTCTGTAATGGAAGCATGTGTCAAGATGGAACATTCCTCAGCCTGAATTCCTGAGTGACTACAAGGACAGCACTACTGTCAAATTACAATGAACATGGGGCATATATAAAAATTAAATTTCATTGCTTTCAGTCAGTAATTTTAAGCTTATTACTGCAGCACACCCCCGCTTATTCTGATGGATGCACATAGGCACACTGACAGATAAGCTCAATCTCATTGTTCTAAGGTCATTTTCAAGGCATATTAATTTATTTAAAAGAGTTAAAAGAAAGCCTTCCAATTTGCCTGTAGTGGTTCAACGATACTCATTAGATGGGAAAGTCCAATCAGGCCCATTCGCTGAAAACTATTTTGAATAATTCAAAAAAATACAGATCTTCTGCTTACATGAAGTATGCAAAATTTTCACCTCATCAAACCATGCTGCAATCCAGGGAAGAAGTTTAGTTCTACCAAAAAAAAAATCCATACTGTAGGCTACTAAGTCTTCTCTAGCGTAACTGATCTTTGGTCATTACTTATTAAATTAAAAAAATTCTTAAACAAAGAATAATGATGCACCTGACAAAACTTAAAGCAAGATAAGTGATGGTTTGCAGAATTCTAAATAAAAACTACATATTAAGCTAATATCTATTAAGCTGGTGGTAGTAATGTTTACCAAATTCATTAATACGAATAAAATCAGCAGAGATGTACCTTCCATTTCTGAATCAACTAACCAGAAATTAAAATTACTAGAGTAAATTCATTTAAGACATATGTTGTGCATGATGTAAATTTCTGAGGATATTTTATAAACTGAATTTACACATTCAGCCAAAAGTAATAAAATTCACATCAGAATATTTAACCATGATACAAAGTGGAAAACTCAGTCAACTATTAAGTGAAACTCTCAGGTTTAAGGGGAGTCTCAACATCCCCAGGTTCCAAGGCAGCAATTTCTTAGAGTGTGATAGAATAAGAGTATTAAATCTCAAAGTGCAGAGGGACCATTATAATAGTTAGCTATTGGACAATGTTGCCAAAAGAAAGAATTGTGATGTTTCTGTTGGAAAAGTAAACGTTAAAATCAACTTAGCAATCCTACTGAAAAAACTTGAAAAAAATCCAATCCAACATGAAATAAATGCTGTTAATTTTCTTTAATTACAGGTCTCAGCAATTTCAAAAATTTAAAGATCTAAATTACGATATTATTTTTTCAAAAATATTTTTTTAAAAAAATGACAGTGTTCTAATTCAGTCCAATATTTTATGGTATGTAGGGCTAACTCTAGTTTACTTAGATAGTCTAGAACTCCATAAAAAATTTTTTTTGAATTATAAAAATATAGCTGCTGAACTTTCTTTGTTTTCAAGTTATCCAATCTGTAACTTCCATTACTTGCTATTTTTAAAGATTTCGAAAGAGAGGTGTTGATGATCTAGTTTTGACTCCATCTCTGAAACAGTATATGAGAAAGTTATGGGGCAATGGCAATAAATACATATAGTCCTCACGGTTCTTCCCTAGGTACTTATATAATCACTTTGGATTTGGCAACAAACAAAACAGAAATCCCTGTGTTACTTAACTTATATTTAGTAATGAATTACTACTTAGATTGTTTAAGCAGGGAAAACGAAATTTGCTGCCTATCACACCTGCATGGTATGTGGCTTGATTACTTGGCCTACATCTCCCTCTACTGGAAGTCCTTGTTCTGCTTTATTTCTGCTTTTCTTATATTTACTTTTACTTTTTATGTATCCCATATCACTATTCCACAGAGGTTTCTGATAAGATAGGTATAAGATGGGTTCTTAGAAAACAGGCTAATTGGTCATGAGGGAAGAAGGGAAGGAAAGAGTCAGGGGAGATTATTTTCTACAAATATGAGACCAGGATGTATCTCAGTTTCTTTCTTTTTCAATTGTTTGTTTGGTATACAAGGAACCAATTTGTGTACAAGGACAAAGATAGAAGAGACATATGTATACATCTGGGATTGTAAAATTTTCAAGTTAGAAAAATGTATAAAGTTTTAAAAATAAAAATAAAGTAACATAATCACTAAATGTATAGTATTTATAACTAGTAAATAAAAATAAATGTCTGTTGTCCTACTTGAATGTTATACAGCACTTTAAGGAAAACAATACAGACAGGCCTTACAATAACTCATCCCTATTATTTAACATTTACTGCATGTATTCTATGGGCCAGGCACTATGCTAAGCACTTTACCTCTCAGGTGACAGTTTTATAAGGGAGTTACATAGTGCTCCTATCCCCATTTACAGAGGAAATCACTGAGACGTAGGGAGGCTGTAATGTATCCAAGTTTACATAGACGCTAGGTGGCAGGGCATGTGAATCCAATGCAGTCTGACTTCAGACCTTGGTCTTAATTCCCACATTCCATTAGCATGCCACAGTAGTAAGTACAGTGGACAACACAGGAAATCAATAAGACAGCAGTAAAGAAAAGCATTAGGAAGACCTGACTCTCTGGTAAGCATCCCCTCTGGCAGAGATCAACATACAGTGACATCCTAAGATATTGTATACTCACTTTATCTTCTTATCTCACTTTCTTCATTCCCCTCTCCACCGCCCTCTCCACCAAAACTAATTTTAAGGTTTCAAGAAATTAGCTGGACATAGTGGCTCATGCCTGTAATCCCAGCAGTCTGGGAGGCCGAGACAGGAGGACTGTTTAAGCTCAGGAATTTGAGACCAACCTGGGCAACATAGCAAGATATCATCTCTACAAAAATTTGTAAAAATTAGCTGGGTACGGTAGCACACACCTGTAGTCCCAGCTACTTGAGGGACTGAGGCTGGAGGATTGCTTGAGCCTGGGAAGTCAAGGCTACAGTGAACCTGTGCTAATCTTCTCTGTATTAGTCAGACATGCTCCAACTTGCTGAGAGCCAGACAGACTCCATTTTAACCTCCTCCTCACCCCTCCTGCCATTTTCCCCTTGAGTGCACACCTGGGTCATGCTACTGTGCTGGGTCACGCTGTACTTAGAACTACAGAAACATATAACCATTGTAACCATATCCTGCTTGGCAAGCCCACTTGTTATTATGAATACCTCCTTGATTGATTATATGACAAGTACTGAATATACCCCTTGGTAACCAGCAATCATGGGAATCGCTTGTGTATACACTCCTTAGTAATCAACAATCATGGGAACCTCCTGCCTCCTGGTCACCAGCCTCCCTATATAACTTGCTTGTTCTGCTTCTGTAAATTCTGCTTCAGCTAGGCTCCCCCTCCCCTTCTCTAAGCAAGATATAAAAAGGAATTAAGCCCCTTCTTTGGGGCTGAGAGATTTTTGAGTGTAAGCTGACTCTTGGTCGCCAGCAATAAAGGACTCTCAGTCAGAACTCAAGAGTGTGGCACTTTCTCTAACTTGCTCAGTTACAACAAACCCTTATCATGCCACTGCACTCCAGCCTGGGCAACAAGCAAGAACTTGCCTCAAAAATAAATAACGGTTTCATGAAATTAAAAAGTAATTTTTACACATAAAATAAGTCTCTGAAAAAGAAATATCTTTATAAAACGTTATTGTGATATCTATTTGCAGAAACAAATTAACCCTATGCTTTATGCCCAGTTGTAAGTAACAATACTTTGCACA